TGTGTGTGTGTGGTGGGGGAGTTGTGTGTGTGTGTGTGTGTGTGTGCGCGCACACACACAAAGGTGTAGAAGCCAGAAGATAACATTGGATGTTGGCCTTTGGGTGTTATCACCAGACACATTTAAATCAACCAAAAAAGAAGAAGAAAAGAACTAATGAGCAAATAAGCACTGTGTCTCACCACATAGGCTGGGCTGGATGGAGTGAGGCCCGGGTACCCACCTGCTTTCTTCCCCAGCACTGGGATTACAATGCAAGTCACTACATCTGTTTGTCACGTGGGTTCTGGGATTGAACTCAGGTCTTCATGGTTGTAAGGCAAGCACTTTTCTGACTGAGCTGTCAGCCTAGCTTCTTCTGACCTAATTTTCGCATTTCTTGCTGTCTTTAAGAAGTGTACATTTTAGAATAAATTTCCTGCCTTACATGAAAAGGCCAAATAAGTATTCCCGCCCCCACCCCCCACCAAAAAAAAAAAAGAAAAAAGAAAAAAAAAAAAGATGTTTTACCATGGAGAAATTGAAGCTGTGGAAATGGATGCAGACTGAAGATCCTGTTCAGATAGGTGGTTCTGTTGGTAGAATTATATATATAACTTTAGCCCATAGTTTGTTCAAAGCTGAAACATGCCTGTTTTTTTCTTTGGGTTTCATGGTAGATAGGGAACTAATGAAAAGCCTGGAGAAGAGGAATAGGTGACCTGAAGGGCAACTTCTGAAGGAACATCATCCTGACCACCCGAAAGAAGTAACCATCCAAAGAGTCAGGAGGGCATTGTTAGAAGACTGGCAGTTCTTGAGAAAGTCCTAGTGAGGAAGAGGCCAGGCCAGGGGTCCTGGGCTTCTAGAGGAAATAGACATGATCTCACTCAGACCCTTCATCACACCCCAGCCCACTAGCCCAAGTGAGGCCGACTGCAGTAGCCTCTCCACTGCTTCAGTCTGTTTTCCACAAACCGTGCAGCCAGCCTGACGAAGAGGATTATTAGTAGCACAGAGAGACTCCTGTCTTTTTTCTTTCCACTTTTTTTTTTCATAACGAGTAAACACAGAGGTCCAGGGAGGCAAAGGTAAAGGCAAACTCAAGTGCTTACAAAGCCATCTCGGAAACGAACACCCGGGTGCGGTGTCTCATAACCTTACACAAAACTGACAGTAGCCAGCTGTTTTCTGAGCTAAACACTTTCCTAAAGAGCCGAAAGCCAGGAGGCAAAAAGGGAGAAAGTGAAAATAACTTCTCTCCTCCCAAACCACAGATGACAGATCAGCCAGAAAGGACCCTGGAGGAAACAGGAGTCAATGAGGCAAAAGTCCTTGCAAATGACCCTGGCTGCTCCTCTCTACCGCTGCAGAGACGATCCACCCAAATGTCCTTTTAGCAGCGCTGCATCGGAAGCGAGTCTCTTGAGTTATACTATGCACTTGCTCTCAATTGTGAAATGATTAGATCTGATAACACCGATCTCAGCTTTTAGATATTTTCGCACAGTATTTGTCTTCCTCTATTTCCTATGTCTGTCTCTTTCTCAAAATATGGGAAAGACTTAAAACGGACTCTAATTCTCACTTTCATGGATTCTGTGGACTTTTCTAGACTAACCCTGGAGACTAGATTTCTCAGGGCTAGATATTTATTATTGTTTAAAATGTGATCTTCATTGGGTGGGGTGGGGAGTAGGAATTTAACATCGTTCAAATGAAAGGAAACTTAATTTCAAGGCTCTGATTTCAGTAGTCTTATGAGGGGACATATGATGTGGGCAGCCATTTTAGGGGTGATCTGACATGGGCAAGCAGTTTATTTAGTAAAGCACCATAAGAAGTATTTTTCAGCTGTACTTAAAAGATCTGGAAGCTACTGTGGAAAAGGGTTTGAAAGCTAAAACATTTTATAAAATAACATGATTTTAAATCACTTTTGTGAATTTATTAATCCTGGAGATGAGAAAAAGGGGTATGTTTTCAAAGTATAGGTCTAGGATGTCATTCTAGGCTGGGACTGTACTAAAATTATAGTGTCAAGCATGGTTCTGCGCTGAGTCTGGTGAAGGAGCATCTGAGCACCGTTATCTGGTAGTGACCTTTTTTGCTGGTTTCTCTTCAGTTTCTAGACTAGTGGCCCTGTGGTACCCTTAGGTCTTCAAGTTCATATATGAGCTGGCCATATAGTAGCAGTGCTTTTGGAATTATGAAGATAGATGGTAGCCAAGTTAAGTGACAATGAATAAGGAGGGAAAACCAGGCACAGAAGCAGTCATGATGAGAAAGTAGCAAGACATCAGTAAGTTCTCTCTATGGAGAGAACTGAGAGAATAATCTATCCCTTCCTCACCCAAAAGCCACAGATACTCCAAGACAGTGTGAAGCATTATCATACAGTACAAGGAATGGGAAATCAATTCATTTTATTTGGCTATTAAGGATAAAAATGGGACCCCTGAGGGTTGTGTCTATCTAATTATATTTGTTTGCCCTTTTGTGTAGAATTCAATTGGGTGTTGTATGGTGTGTTCCTTTAAAGCTCGATGTGGAGTTGTTTGCAAGCTCTGCATATTTGGTTAGCTGAAGGTGGAGTAAAACTGACTATCATTCAATTTGCAGACAGGCACTTTAGCCTTCATGGTATATTTTGTTTGAAAAATACTGAAGTTTTTCTGGTCAAAAATTTGCATAAAATCAACTTGATTCTTTCTGAAGAAACATTTACTAATTAACAATTGTCATGTGTTAAAGATTGAGTTAGCTAGAAATGTGGTTAGTATTCCAAAAACTTGAAAGAAATAAAATAAGGGAGAAGCAATTTGTTTGAATTCATAGCTTCAAAAGTCTCACTCAGTCCATGGTTATCTTATGCCACTGGTGATCTTATGCAGCATCATGGAAGAGGGCTATGGTGGAGCACAGCTCTTGACTTCATAGGTGCCAGTAAGCAGAGAGAAAATACAGGAAGGGAATAGGGCAAGATATGGCTTCCAAGGACAGACCCACAGTGATTACTTCCTCCCAGTAGGCCTTACCAGCTGAGGTTTCCAGACCTCCTAAATGACAGCACTTATGGGGGAGCAAGTCTTTAACACACAGCCTGTAGGATAGATTTTCACATCCAAGTCATAATGACGTATATATTTCATTCTTCCCTTCTCATTCATCCATGTTTTAGGGTCCATGTAATTTTCAGAAAATCATTTACTGTTACCATAACTTGCCAGCAGGACAAATATATTTTACAGAGACACTATGTTCGTTCCTCAGTCTGCCAATTAGATTATTAAAACAATGGATGGTGAGAAATTGGAATTTCTTCAATATTTTCATGCCAGGGGAAGAGAAAACCTGAGCCAGCCAGAACTAAAACTTTTCTCCTGAAAAGGGATTTCCCATAGTACTGACAACATGTCAGACAACCCTCCTGGAGAGGTTGAAGCCTTGCCACTAATGTTTGGGGGCACTGCTGGATCTGCTTATATAACTCTCTCTCTCTCTACTTACATCTCAACCTTACTTCAGAGCCAGAGGAAGGACTTAGGTGGGAAGGGGCCATTGGATCTCTTTGTTCCTCTTCCCAGTGTGGCCATATTGAATGATTCTCTTTTTCTGATTTTTGTTACTAAATTGCCTGCTTTAATGGGCTTATGGAAGATGAATGATTGAACCTAGCTTGCTGAAGCACAGGCTGGGACCCGAAGTCTGGCAACATTACTATGAAAAGCAATGGAAGAAAAGTTTCACATTTCTCAACACCAGATAGTAAAATAGAAGTTGTTCTTTTGTGTTCTCCAAATAGTCAAAAATATGGTTTTGTGCGTGAATTATCTCTTTCCACATATTTTATGAATTCAAGATCTTTCCTCATCTTTATATTCACCGTGTACTTCTTTTTATCATTCAGTTTTGGCCATAGAATAAGAGGCTTGTCCTATGGTGGTTTCCATCTGAACATAGATAACATACTAGGAAAAAAAAAAGGTTATACTGACTTTTCAGTTGATTCAATTTATTTTGTATCTGAATCTTTGTATCATTTTTACTTGTTAGACTTGTTTTTCTTGGAGGATTTCCTTTTGCACTTGAATCTATTTGATATTTCCATTTTGCTATTTGTTTGACTCCTTTAAATGCTTCAGATTTCCATGTCTGCTTCAGATTGGCAAAGAAATCAGTGGGATGGCTTAGCCCGACTTTGTAGTTACCGGGAAAGCTTTTCATTTTTCATGGTCTTCTCGTGGCAGTGTAAAGATTCCTCTCTGGTAGACTACAGTCTAACTCTTTGTTGCCTGTCCAGTGGGATTCCTCACTGG